CGACCCCCACCCCGACCTCTGTCTTTGCCTCCTCGGTGGTGGGCCTTGAGGCCGACGAGGTGTGGGCCTCTCTGGGTGCCTTTGGTGCTGTCGTCCCCCTCGAACCCACAAAGGTGGCTGCCGTGGCCATGGCTGATGGCGCTCCTCCGTCGGCTGTCGGTGCCACTCGCTGCGTCAGCTACGGGTCAAAGGCTGCCGGTGGGCAACAACAGCATGCCCTCCTTGCTCTGTCAGAGGCAAAGCATCTCGTTCGATGGAAGGTCGTGGCGGCAGACGCGGCTCCGGAGCTGGTCGGCTCGGTCTGGGGCATCGCCCTCACCCGCATCACCGAGAATGCCGCTACCTACATCGCGCTCTCGGCCACGCTGGCTCGTCCGGCCTCGGAAGACGTGCTTGCTGGTCTGCAAGCCTCATGCCAGGCTTCACTCTCTGATCTCCGCATGTTCCTGCAGAACAAGCACGAGCTGCTCCGCGTTCGCTTCCGGCCCTACTCGCGCCCACATCTGCTGCTGCAGCAGGTCTCGGACGCTCTCCTTGCCGACGCCGCCCATGCGCTCGCCCACAACTCGATCGTCTCGTCCATTACCCTCGCGCGCGGCTCGGTCTCCCGCCACGGCGTCGAGACCCTGATGGAGCTGCTGGCCTCGGCCGCCGGCCTCGCCTCTTCGCTCACCGCCATCACCCTCACCTCGCTCCAGCTCTCTCCACACCTATTGTCGGCCTTTGTCAGCGGCCTGGCACACTGTCCCATTGCGCTTGCCTCGTTTAAGATTCTCGGCTCGACCCTCGCCGACGACGCCGCCCTCGTTGCCCTCGTCCCTGCCCTCGAGGCTCTCGCCGACGCCATGCCCTCGCTAGTCCAGCTTGAGGTCCACGTCGGCGACCCGCGCTCGGCCCTGCTCCCGCTCTCGATCACCAACCGCGTCCAGCGCAACCGCGCGGCCCAGCTCGAGCACCCGGACGCCGTCGCTGGCCTCGAGGCCCTCGACCTCGTCACAAACCCCGAGGTTGACCCGGAGCTTGCCGCCCGCGTCGCCCGTACCCTCGCCACCGCACCCAAGCTCAAGTCGCTGTGGATTCATGACGTTGGCGGCGCCCCGCAGGCGGTGGAGGCTCTCATCCGCGCTGGCCTCGGCGCGCCCAAGCTCGAGGCCTTCCGCCTCTCGCGCACCCGCCGCCAGCCGCTCACACAACCCTTCCTCTACCCGCTCGTCGACGCTATCCTCTCTGCTCCGCACCCGGACGCCCTTGCCCTCCGCTACCTCGAGCTCTCCGGTCTTGAGCTCTCCACCATTGCCGAGGGCGACTCGTCGCCGCTCCTCGCGTCACTCCTCGCGCTCATTCGCGCAAACACCCCGCTGCAGGTCCTCGTCGCCCCACAGGACGGCGTCGTCGCCGAATCTGTCCTCACCGCTCTTGCCGCCGCCGTCTCGGACTCAAACTCCTCGCTCCTTGTCCTCGAGCTCGGCTCGCCCTCCTCACACGCGCCCGTTCCGACCCGCATCGCATCGGTCGCTGACGGCATGGCCTTTGGCCAGCCTGGCCTCGCTCTCCTCGCCTCGGCCCTCCTTGCCAACCGCGACCGCGCCATCAAGGACATCGTCGCCCACCTCGCTGCCAATGACCCGAACACCACCATCCTTCACTCGGAAATCCTCGTCGACGAGCACTCGCTCCTCCACGGCGGCCTCGCCGATGCCCTCCGCACCAACACCGTCGTCGAGACCATCCGCCACTTTCACACCAATGACGCCGCGGCCGTTGCCCTCGGCGAAGCCCTGCTCGACAACCCCCGCTCCGGTGTCCGTCTCATCCAGCTCGACGGCGCGCTCACCCACCCGACCTGTGCCATCTTTACCCAGCTCGTCCACGCCCGTGAGAACCTCTCCGTATCGCTCGGCCCGGCCAACCCGTACAACGAGCAGTCACGCTCATTTGCCCACTCTCCGGCCTCTGTCTGACTACCGGTACCTTCGCCGCCGCTCACTCGCGACGTCGCAACTTTGCCACCCGCTCGCCTACCCTCAGCACGGCCTCGATCTCCGCAACCTGAGCCTCAGCCCATGCCACTACCTCGGCCCGGACAGCCGCTCGTCCCGCCGCCGCGCTCGCTCCGTCGCGCTGCAGCTCCCCGAGCAACCACTCGCTCGCCGCCTGCGGCTCGTCGCCACCCACAGACACCAGACCAGAGACGCCTGCCCCCCGCAGCGCATCCACCACCGGAGCCGCTGCACCCAAGTTTGGCCCGACCGCTACCGGCGCGCCCTCACCGAGTGGCTCGATCACGTTGTGCGAGCCAATGATCGGCGTAAACGAGCCTCCCATGACCACCCCGGACGGCCCGGCCGCGTACAGCTGCGAGAGCACGCCCATCTCGTCCACAACCACGGCACAACCCGGCGGGACCTCGCCGCGCGCCTCTGACCACAGAATCAAGCTGCGCTCGAGCTCAAACCCGGCGTCACGGAGGCCATCGACCGCCGCGCCAAGCGCGTCCATGTGCCGCGGCGCTACCACCGTCACCGCCTCCGGTGCGGCCACCCGCACCTGCTGCGCCACCCGCGCCACCAGGCCCATCTCGGCAGCATGCACACACGAGGCCATCCACCACGGCCCGGGAAAGACCAGTGGCCCGCCCTGCCGCCTGGCCCCACGCCCTCTGCTGCCGAGTGTACCCAGCGCTCCTAGCGCCTTGATCGGCGGCATGGCCAAAACACGCGTCGCGTCACCGGCCATGTGCGCACGGGCAAACGTCCGCATGTCCGCATCCGGCGAGGCAATGACATCAAACGCCGAGCCAAGACCACGGAGTGCGTCAGCAGCCAACCCCAGCCCGAGCCAGCGCTTCTGCGACTTGGCCGACATCCGCGCATCGAGCAGCATCAGCGCGTCGACGCGAGCTGCTGCGCCGAGCACAAGCGCCGGCCACAGCTCCGACTCGAGGACGACTCCGATGTGCGGCGAGCCGATAGCGTCGAGAAAGGCATCCACCGCCTGCGGCGCATCATGCGGCGCAGCAGCAACATCCACTCTCCCGCCACTCTCGGCTGCCGCCTTTTCCAGCGCCGCCACCCCGGACGCCGTGCCGACCGAGACCACCGCCGACCGCTCGCCACTCTCGCTCCCGCTGCCGTCCAGCCACAGCTCCGCCAGCAGCAAGCCGGCCTTGCTCTCGCCCACCGACGCGCCATGGACCCAGAGCCGGCTCCCGCACTTGGACACACCGCCATCCTCGCCACCAACCCGTCCCGCCATAGCCTCGTAGCGCCCGCCGACCCGGCGCCACCCTCCCCATGCCCGCACCGCCGGGAACATCGCACGCGCCACAGCCAGGTATGCGCCCAGCGCCGGCGATCGCACAGGGCTTGCCATTCTGACGCCCTCGATTCCGAAGTCCTGCACCACCACTTGGCTCTGCTTTGCCGAGTCGAGTCTACCACCGCTTGCCTTGCCCATACCCTCGCCGCGCCGCGGCCGTCTCTGATCCGTGGGTCACTCTGGGCCACACACACCTCGCTGCAGCAAAGCAAGCACATGGATGACATTCAATTGTGTGCCTCAAGGCAAAAAGGTTACTCAAAGCCGGCGGCAAGGCCAATGACCTCACGGAGGCCGTCGTGGACAAGGTGCCTGGTGACGCTAAGCGAGTACGGGACGATCGAGTACGATGGCTTGGCTGAGAGGAGCTGGTAGTACGGGTGCGCCGAGCGCGCCGCGTTAAAGACCACCTTCTTGGCCGCAGTCCGCTTGGTGTACGAGGGATAGACCTTGGCAGTCACCGCGAGCGTGAACCGGACCGGGTCGAGGATGCCCTCAAAGATGACGTCGACGGCGATCGAGAACACATACCGCTCCGAGTCGCCGCACGGGCCGCGCGGGAAGAGCCGCCGCTCCGACTGGACCGAGAGCGAGGCAACGACGGCTGCGACGCCGTCCTTGCCACCGCTCCGCGGCTCAAACGTGTCGACCGGCAGCTCAAAGTGATCCTCGGGGTCAAAGTTGGCGAGCGGCGAGACATAGACTCCGGCGCACGCGGCAACCTTGAGCGGGCCACCGAGCGACGTTGAGGCGCCTGCTGCCGCCGCCGGCGGTGCCGCCGCCACCTCGAACCGAATCTTGCGGGCATGCCCGATGATGAGGCAGTACTGCAGGCCGTGCCGCTTGCGCTTGACAGCCACAGGCACGTACTGCGTGCCCTCAGCCTCGAGGACAGTAAACCGGGTCGCAAGTGGCACCGTTTCCACCGTCCGCGGGTCGTCCGAGAGCACGCCGTGGAAAACGGTAAACGGCTCGGGCCGCACGCCATGCCGCTCGACAGAGTACGCCACACTCGGCCGCGTGTGGACAAAGCCGGTGATAGCTGGCTCCTTGGCCCGCGCCTCGAGCTTGCGCCGCTGATGGGCAGCGAGCTCTTGCTCAGTTCCGTGCGCCACGTGGGCAGACTGAATCATCGACTCGCGCGGCGCGGCTCGACGCCGCATCTTGCGGATGACATGCTCGCCCTTGGCCCGCGCGTACTCGGCTTCGCTCATCGACGCGTGCTTGGCTGAGTTGTACGCTGCGCGCTCTGCGCGCGTCAGCCGAGACTTGCGCTTGCCCTCTAGCGCGAGTGGGAGCCATGGCTTGTCCACCCGCCGCAGCACCTTTTCCTCCGCCACCCGCTCGGCGCGCCGTGCCCGATGGGCAGCCTTGCGCCGCTCGTACTCATCGCGCCCATAGAACTCCATCTTGGCCCGCGCGTACTCCTTCTTATCCTCGCGGGTAAACTGCGACCGCGGCTTGTTGCGCAGGTGCAGCGGGACCCACCCGGCGTGCTCCTTGGTCGACGCAGTGGTCGTTCCAAGCGATAGCAGTGTGCTGTCGCCGCCCTCGGCCACTGACAGCCGCAGCAGCTCGAGCTCCTGCCAGTCCTCCATCCGCTGTGCCCGCTTCAGCTGCCGGTTTCGCCGGTAAGCTTCGTAGCCGGCAGGCCCCATCGCCTCGCGCTTGGCGCGGAAGTACCGCTGAAAGTCGGCTCGCGTAAAGTCGACCTTGGGCTTGCCCACCAAGTCGCGCGGAACCCACGCCTCGTCCTCGCCCTCGTCGTCCGACGACACTTCCTCCAACCTAGCCGCCAGCTCGGCAATTCGCGCCTCGGCCAGCTCGACCTCGGTCGGCGCCAGATGCGAGCTGTTGACGCCGGCGGCCGCTGACCGCGCACTTCCACGCCCACCGGCGGGCGCCAAGCCCGACGCGGCCTCCGACCCGCTCGAGTCCGAGCCGGAGCCGATATCTGGGCCGGGGCTCGAGCTGGAGCTTGCGCTTGCACTTGCGCTCGAGTTAGAGTCCACACCCGAGTTGTGGCTATCAGACGCGCTGTCCGACGACTCGCGGTTCGAGTTGCGCGACCGCTCCACGTTGCGCAGGAACGCCCGCTTGGCCTTGACGTATGCCTTCTTGTCATCCTCGGTAAAGGCGGACTTGGCCTTGTTTCGCAGGTTGTCTGGAATCCATGACCGGTCGGCCTTGGTAGCCTCGCGCTGCTCTTCCTTGGTGAGCGAGATCCGGTCGCGCCGCGACGAGCTCTCACCATCGTCCTTGGTGCTCCGCTGCGACCGGTGCCGCTCCCGCTGACGACGGTACTCGTTGTCGCCAAGGAACTCGCGTTTGGCACGGTTGTATGCCTTTTTGTCAGCGCGAGTAAACTCGGACCGTGGCTTGCCCTGCAGATGCTCGGGCACCCACGACTTGTCGCGGCCTGCCTTGGCCTTGGTCGGCGATGCCTCGGTCGGCTCCACCGAAGAGACTTCTGCCGCCGGCAACTGCAGCTTGGCAGCCTCCAGCTCAGCCCGCTTTGCTCTCAACAGCTCCTGGTACGCCTCCTCGCCGAGGAACTCGCGCTTGGCCTTGGCGTACCGCTTCTTGTCATCGCGGGTAAACTGAGCTTTGGGCTTGGTCTGCAGATCGGCAGGCACCCACGACCGGTCGCGCTGCGCCTTGTCGAGCACTTCGGCGCGCGTCGGTGACCTGGGCGCCTCGGCTTCAGGCTTGAGTTCGGGCTTGGGCTGAGGTTTGGCTTCCGCTCCAGGCTCTGCCTCTGCCTTTGCTTCGGCCATTGCCATTGCCTCGGCCTTTGCCTTTGCCTCGGCCTTTCCTTGGCTTCGGCATTTCCTTGGCTTCGGTCTTGGCCTTGGCTTCGGCCTCGGCCTCGAGCTCCTTCAACCGGGCCTCGAGCTCGGCACGATCCCTCTCGTCGTCGAGAGCTAGCTGCTGCTCGCGCCACTCACGCTGCGCAGCCAGGTACTCGGCCCGCTCGGCGGCTGTAAACTCACGCCGCTTCTTGTCGCGCAGGTGGAGAGGGACCCACTCCGGCACCTCATTCCGGGTGATGTCCAGCGCCGCGAGCACAGCCGAATTGGTCACAACCTCGGAGCTAGCCTCGGAGCCCGAGTCCGAGTCCGAGTCTGCACCCAACGCCGGCGGCGGCGCCTGGGTCAACTCCTCCTCGGAGGTGGGGGAAGCTGCGGTCGCCAAAGGCGCTTCAGTACCACTCTCGCCCTCCTTTCGCGACTCCTTTCGTGACGCCTTGAGCGACTCGTACGCATCCGAGCCCAGGAACTCGCGCTTGGCGCGCATATACGCCTTCTTGTCATCGCGCGTGTACTCCGACTTGGGCTTCTCGCGCAGGTGCTGGGGCACCCACGAGCGATCCGTCCTGTCGACCACCGGGCCGACTTCGCCGAGCGAGTCCGACTTGGACTTTTTGTTGGCTCGGAGCTGCTGGTAGGCCTCGCGACCCAGAAAGTCGCGCTTCGCCCTGTTATACCGCTTCTTGTCGTCGCGAGTGAACTCGGCCTTGCGCTTCTCGCGCAGATCCGCAGGTACCCACGACCGGTCTTCTTTGGCTTTGCGGGTCAGCGTCGCCGGCTCGGGCCGCTTGGCGACTTCCGGTGTAGCCGCCAGGTCGGCCTCGGCGCTCGCACCGCTCTCGTTCACCGCGTCCTCTTCCTTGCGCGACCGCCGCTCGCGTAGCCGGCGCTCGTACTCGTCCTTGCCCAGAAAGTCGCGCTTGGCCTTGGCGTACCGCTTCTTGTCGGCACGGGTAAACTCGGACTTGGGCTTGTACCGCAGATCGGCAGGCACCCACGGGCGATCGTCGTCATCAGCAGCATCGGTCGCCGGTCCACTAGGCTCGGCCGTGGTTCCAGCTTCGCTCTCGTCCGCCGCCTCCTCCTTGCGCGACCGCCGCTCGCGCAGCCGGCGCTCGTACTCGTCCTTGCCCAGAAAGTCGCGCTTGGCCTTGGCGTACCGCTTCTTGTCGGCTCGAGTAAACTCGGACTTGGGCTTGCCTTGCAGATCGACAGGCACCCACGAGCGGTCGTCGTCATCAGCAGCATCGGTCGCCGGTCCACTAGGCTCGGCCGTGGTTCCAGCTTCGCTCTCGTCCGCCGCCTCCTCCTTGCGCGACCGCCGCTCGCGCAGCCGGCGCTCGTACTCGTCCTTGCCCAGAAAGTCGCGCTTGGCCTTGGCGTACCGCTTCTTGTCGGCACGGGTAAACTCGGACTTGGGCTTGCCTTGCAGATCGACAGGCACCCACGAGCGGTCGTCGTCATCAGCAGCATCGGTCGCCGGTCCACTAGGCTCGGCCGTGGTTCCAGCTTCGCTCTCGTCCGCCGCCTCCTCCTTGCGCGACCGCCGCTCGCGCAGCCGGCGCTCGTACTCGTCCTTGCCCAGAAAGTCGCGCTTAGCCTTGGCGTACCGCTTCTTGTCGGCACGGGTAAACTCGGACTTGGGCTTGCCTTGCAGATCGGCAGGCACCCACGAGCGGTCGTGGTCGTCACCATCGTCCTTGCCCTTCTCGTTCTCGACACTCTTTGGTGCTGCTGCTGGCGGCGTCTTGTTCTCCATGCCAGTGGCAGCGAGGCCGAGGTCCGACTCGAGCGACGACTGGCGCGATGACTGGCGCGACGACTGGCGAGAGTTGGAGCGCAGTTCCATAATCTTGGCAAATGCCTCGTCGCCGAGATGCTTGCGCTTCGCCTCGTTGTACGCCTTTCTCTCCTCACGGGAGAGCGAAGTGCGCGGCCGGTTGCGAAGGCCGTCAGGAACCCACGGGTCGCTCGAGGTATTTGCACCAAACCGCGGCGAGTGCGACGGCGAGAGCGGTGCCGAGTCAGGCAGGGCCAGTTTGCCGTCGTCGGTCGAGCGGGGCGCGCCGGGGCGGCGCTTGCGCTCCTTGAGCGCGAGGTATGCCTCGGTGCCCATGTATGCGCGCTTGGCCTTGTTGTACCGCTTCTTGTCCTCGCGAGTGTACTCAGCCTTGGGCTTGAGCCGCAGATTCTCCGGGAGCCACGACTTGTCGTCAGCGTGCTCGGAGGCAGTCACCGGCGGTGTCGGCTCGCTAGCGGACGGCATTGCCGCAGACGGCTCTTCAGCCTTGCCGCGTGCCTTGGCCTTGGCTGCCTGGTATGCCTCGGCACCAAGAAACGCGCGCTTGGCCTTGTTGTACCGCTTCTTGTCCTCGCGGGTGTACTCGGCCTTGGGCTTCTCGCGCAGGTCGGCAGGCACCCACGACCGGTCCTTCCCGCCGTCGGCCGGGAACGAAGACTTCTCTTTGCCCGGCGACGGCGCGTGCACGATGACCGGACCGGACATAGAGGTGGGCAGCTCCGGCAGCGGGCGCTTAGGCGAGCTCGGCGGGCGCGCAGGGTCGGCGGCGGCGACGGCGGTGGCCGCGCTGCCGGACTCGTTCGACGTCTTGGCCGCCTGGCGCATCTCGTTGTACACCTCTTGACCAAAGTAGTCGCGCTTGGCCCTGTTGTATCGCTTCTTGTCCTCGCGAGTAAACTCTGACTTGGGCTTGGTCCGCAGGTCGGCAGGCACCCACGAGCGGTCGGCTTTGGGGTCGGCTTTGGGGTCGGATGACGCGGGTAGGTCCGGCTTGGTCGGCGACGGCGGCAGGACGCGCGGCGACATTGAGAGCACACCGCCCGATTCACCGGTAGCCTTGACCGCCCGCAGGCGCTTGTACTCGGCCTCGCCGAGGAACGCGCGCTTGGCCTTGTTGTACCGCTTTTTGTCATCGCGGGTAAATTGGGACTTGGGCTTGTCGCGCAAGTCGAGCGGAATCCACGACCGATCCTTGGTGGCGTCGGGCACAATGAGAGCAGCAGGCGCAGACATGGCCGAGTTGGCGCCGGGATCCGAGTCTTCGGCGGCGGCGGCCTCGGCGGCTGCCGCCCGCAGCGCCTTGCGGCGCTTGTGCTCGGCATGCACCAGCGCCCGCTCCTCGGGCGTCATCGCATGAAGCTTGGCCTTCTTGTACCGGTGCTTTTCTTTCGGCGTCATTTCCGACACCGGCTTGCCGCGCAAGTCCTCGGGAATCCACGATCGGTCGCGCGACGTCGACATCTCTTCCAGAATTGACGACCGCTCGTGCGGCGCATGACTTCCGGACGACTCGGCCGGCGCGCGCGGCGCGACGTGGCGCGCGAACCGCGACCGCGCTGCTGCGCGCGCCTCGGACTCGAGTCGCGGGTGCAACCCGGGTTCGGCGCCGGCATCGGCCTGCACGCCACCATCGTCGAGCGCCTCGGCACGGACAGCCTCCAATGCCTCGGCTCGCGCTTTGCTGCGAGCGCGAGACTGATCTGCCCGCCGCTCTGCGTGACGTTGGGCCTTGCTGGACGATGCACGCTGCGCCTCTACCTGCTCGTCGTATGAGCGGGCAAAGTCAATGGCCTCGGGCCGGACGCCGGTCGACCGAGCTGCCGCCTGTCGGCACTGCGCACGCTCCATCGAGCTCAGCAGCGGCTTGGGCTTGGGCAGCTTGACCACGCCGGACTGTGACATGATCTCCTCGCGGACGAGAACAAACGCCTCGGCCCGCGCCCGACGCCGCAGCCGCGACTGCTCCATCCGCCGCGCAGCATGGCGCGCCAGCTTGCGCTGCATTTCGGAGCCAGACGCCACCGGAGGCACGCACTCGGCACCAGCATGCCGCAGCGCACGCCGCTCCGCATCGTTGTCGTTGTCCTTGCGCTCGGTGCTTTTGGCAATCCGGATCGGCCGCGAAGCCGGCTTGAGCGGGCTTGGCGCCGGCTCGCCGTCAAAGCCGGCCGAGTTCGACCGTGGCGTCGGGCCCTGCGGCGTGGGCATCTCGATCTCGATTGAGAGCTGCACGTCCATTTCGCTGTTGCTGCTCGCGGCAGCGTCGTCGTCATCAGAGAGCTCAGGTGACGAAGAAGCCGACGAAGAGTTGGCCTCGGGAACTGGCGAAGACGTCGGGCCTCCGGCCTCCAACGGCGGCGAGTGCGCCTCGTCTGCCGCGGCAGCCTTGCCCTCGCCGTCTTCTTCCGACGGCAGGACCTGCTCAGGCTCGACAAGTCCAGCAGCAACCGCCGCCCACTGCGCCATCATCATGTCTGTCTGCAGCACCATCGCCTCGTTCTCGTCCGACATCTCGCCGGCGGCGTCCCCACTCACCGCTTCGGACTCGCGGCGGGAGAGCACCTTGGTCGGCGTCGGCACTCGATCAAGGCTGTCCCCGTACAAGCCGAGTAGAGCCCCAACCAGAACCGCAGCACCCCATACCACACCCGCAGCACCCCATACCACACCCACCACAGTGCGTACCGCACCCGCCACACAACCTGTGAGTTTCACCTCTAGCTCTGGCTACCTCGTCGTGAAGGCACCGCCCAAAAAATGGCCTTCTTCCGCTGGCAAGCCGCCACCACCACCTCCCGCCGACCGGGCGAGGAGGCACAACGTACTTGCCAGACGCCAGCATGGCCTCCCACTTGGCGGCCTGCTTCATAGACGCCTCCTCGGCCAAAAGCCGAGCAGCGTCATCCCCACCAGGCTCTGACATGTGCAGGGGAGGGAGGGGAGAGGACAGTGGTGCAACGCAGTGGTGCGCTGCCACGACCACGACCGTGCCAAGGCAAACGTGTTGATCATGATCATGATCGGCCATGACGACCGCGTTGGCGATCGCGATCGGAGCTGGCAGCGCCACACCCATCTCTGCCGCCTCCCGCCATGCTCCGGACACGGACTGTTGTGAGCTCGCTGTCGGGCCTTCGCGCTGCTGCGGGAGCCTCCATGGCGATGCCTACCCGCACTGCATACACATGGGACCAGCGTGCCGAGGCTGAGCGCCTCCGCGTTGAGGAGGGCCGCGTACGTCGTCCTCTTCCTCGTCTCCCCTCCCCTTCCAACCCCCCAACCCCAACCCCCCCTACCGCACCACCTCCCACCCGTCGCAGAGACTTGCTCTGGTGGCTCGCCTCCCCCTCCCCCTCCCCCCTCTCGGCACGTTACTCACCATTTCATACTCTTCTGCGCTCTGGGGGGTGGCACTGCGCGGTATGATTGCAGCTCCATGAGGAGGCCGATGTGCTTGACGAGCCCATTATTTTCGACACCGACCCGTACATCACGCCCGGGCGGGCGCTCGGCGCGCTGGGGCTGGCCTTTGTGGGCATCGGCGCCTTTTACGGATTCTTGACCATCATCGATCCGTCGCAGTCAAACCCAGCCGTTCCGCGCGAGTTCCCCTTCAACGGCCTCCATGTCGAGCTCGGTGGTGATCCCGATGTCGTGCCGGCCACCGCTTCCGCCGATGCCGCCGACGAGTAAATGATCTTGTTCCCCCTCCCTCTCTCCTCTCCGCCGTCTGCCTTTACCCCGAGTAAGATGCCGACGACGAGCCGGTGACATCGTAGATGGTAACCTGGCGGGTGAGGCTGTACTTGGCAGCGCCCCGCCGCGATGGAATGCGCTCAAAGACGATGAGGATCGAGTCTCCGGGGCTGAGCTCGTGGTGCAGCTGCTCACGCTTAACTCGCTTGACTCGGGTGCGAACCTTACCAGCCCTCTTCTTGAGAGCGGCACGCCGTTTCTTGGCTTTGCGCTTCCCGATTTTCAGCCGGAGCCGGGCCTGGTCTGCAGCCGGGCCCTTGAGGGCGAGGAGCGACGGTGAGTCCGAGTTCGACTCGGAGGCTGACCACGAGGTTGGCGACGCAATGGACGATGCCGACTGTGAGGGCGCCGAGGATGACGGTTCGGGCGTCTCGCCGACAGCGCGGATACGCATGTTGGTCAGCTTGACCTCGAGCGTCTCGACGAGTGCTTTGGAGTCTTCGAGGTTGCGGACGACCATGACAAAGTAGTCGTTGTTCTTCCACTCGTAGCGGAACACATTGCCTGCACCCTGCTGGGCGTAGTTGATCTTGCGCCCGTGCTTGATGGCGAGCCGGCGGAGCTTGGACGAGCTGAGGGCTGACGCCAGGCGCGACGATGGCCCACGGGCCTTGGCTCGCTTCCGGGCCTTGCGCAGCCGCGCGATCTCGGCTGCTGCCGAGTCATGTTCGGACGACGACGACGAGCGCAGAGTGCGAGCGCCGGTACGGGCACGCCGGCCGCGACGGAGCTTCCGGCTCGGGGTGGCGCGCGACAATTCAAGGGCGCGGCGCGGCTTGGCACGTATAAGCGCCTTGGCTGCGCGCGCAAAGTCTGCACCCGCGGCTGGCACTTTGGCCTTTTTCCGGGCCTTGCGATCCTCAAGTTTGCTGGCCTTGATCTTGTACGCCGCCGGCTTGCGCTTGGCGACGCGCGGGAGCGGGACAAGCACAAGCCGCAGCTGCCCGCCGCGCGGCGAGAGGTGGACGCTGAACGAGTGGACGTGGCGCACGTTGGATCCGCGGCGGACCACTGTGAGCATGTCGGGCTCCTCGGCAACAGCATAGTTGGTCATGTCGAGCGAGACCTTGCCATGGATGGCGACCGAGCGCGACGGGTTGCTAAAGACAAGCGCTCGGCCAAGAGCGCCTGGCAGCGGCACGTCGTGGACAATGACATTGTGGCTGTTGCCCTTCAGCGTCCGCCCGTCCTTTGCGTGCGCCGCCAGGTGGGCGGCGACGGTAGGCGCGACGAGGCCGTGCCAGCCAAAGCTGTCGACGTCGCGGAGCTCGATTTCGGCGTCGATGGCTGGCGACGTGTAGAGCGCGAGCGTGACCGGGTTGGAGCTCGCCGAGTTTGTCATGGCAAGGAGCGCATATTGGCCGTACCCGGTGATGTCGTAGAGCGCGTCAGTGCGGCCGCGCGACGAGCTCCACTCGCCCCACGGCGAGCGGGCCTGCTCGAGCCATTCACCAGAGGCGAGATCGAGGACCACAAGATCGGCTGGTGAGCTCTTGGTTATGAGTGAGAGCCAAAGCGTGCCGGATGGGACGGACCGGGTCTCGCTAGGCGCGAGGTGAATGTTGGGCCTGACGGTGATGAGCGCACCGACGGCATACATGTCCTCGCCAAGAACCCGCTGGTTCGTAGTGGCTAGCGAGGTGAGACTCCACTTGGGCGCAGCAAAGCTGGCGGTGACAGAGTCAAAGACCTTGACAAAGTCGTCGATGGCCATCCACAGCGCACAGCCGTCGTCGTTCCATGAGCCAGCAGTGAGTTGCGACTCGGACTCGATGGAGGCAGACTCAGAGGCCGATTCGGCCGCGCCATGGGCGGCGCGAGCGAGCTGGTCCTCGAGCCGCGATGACCAAAACGCCCAGTCTGGCGACCATGCGCCGGTCCACGACGCGGCGCCGTCGGGGTTGGCAAGCAGAACGAGAGGTGTGGCCTTGCGGGAGCCCGGGCGGGTGATTCGAGCCGTACGCAGGACGGTGTACCGCGACGAGGCAACGAGGCCGCGGGTTGGGTGCTTAACAAAGGCAGTGAGTGGTACATGGGCGTCGGACATGAGGGCGAGGGCGGCGAAGACTGCGTGCGGCGCGAGGCCAGCGCCCAACGCGAGCGACTTGGCCGGCGCACCGGTGAGGACCGGCCAGATCTCGAGCGGCGACGCGATGGCCATGGCGGCATACGAGCCCATGGCCTTGGCAACCATCTTTTCAAAGACCAGCGCCCACGAGCCCGGTGGGCGGCGCGAGGCCCGGCCGAGCACAGTGTTGACCCCGAGCGGGATGTTGGTGCTCGAGCGGACAACGACCGGGAACCAGCTGTCAACGCCGAGGCTGCGGGCCATGCCGCCGACGGCGAGCTGGCCGTAGACTCGGCCATCGGCAAAAGAGGCGTCGTGCTCGACGACGCTCTGCAGCAGCGCTGGAGAGGCAGCCGCGGTAGCTTGCAGGACTGCAGCCATGCCGTCGCACGGAAGCAGCGAGCGCGGCTTTCGGCGGCGGCTCATGCTAGTCAGCTGAACATGGGCAGGATGTGGCGCCCGTGGAAAGACCTCCATATCGGCGCGGCCGATCTGACGCCACTCCACCCGAGATGCCTTTTGCCATGCCCCGAGGATGCCGAGTGCAGCCGAGCCGTGGGCAAACTCGTCGTCTTCCCATGAGCACTGCAGCGACGATCCGAGATCCGACTCGGATCGGGAGCCCCCCCGTGACCTCTCCGCAACACGTGTGGCCCCAGCTGTAGTCTGCCTGCCGATGTTGACATGTCCTTTGCCCACAGCCCTTCGCCTCGTTCTGCCAGAGTCCGAGTCGAAGTCGGAGGAGTACGGCGAACGCGAGTCGGAGGAGCACGACGACGAGGACTGTGTCGAGGACGACGTCGCTCTGCGCTTCTTCCTCGACATACGCCAGGCGTGCCGGTGAGCTCGCGAGCAGGCAGTCGAGTCTACTGACTAGTGGTAGTGTGCCAGTGGCCTAGGGCGAGTCGGCCGCGCCTTGACACCATTGCTCTGCCCGAGAGCAGCCAAAGACTACGATCTTCCAGTGCCGGCGGTGCGATACTTGCCACGCACTTGGATCCTCCCACGATGCTACTGCTGTTGTGCATGGTGCTCGCAGCAGGCCGTACCCTGTCTCTCAAGCCGCTCACCAACCATGGGGAGCCACAAAACCGTCTGCATCAGTCCAAGGCCAACCAGCCTCCAATCATTTTGTTCGTTGGCCTCAACTGTTCCCTGGAGCCAAAAGGATGGTTTGGTTTGGCTCACGATGATCATGGTATTTGCCATGAACAGAGTGATCGGTACAAACGTGCTCCTCTTGACAGACCTCCTCCTTGCTCGTCGACCTGCGGGTGAGTACGGACGACACACAACTCTCCGAAGCGGAGCAAGCGGAGAGAAAGTTAGAAGAGTATGTTACCGAATAAGTAGAGTGTACCTCATCCTCTCTATGCGCATGACCTTGACTATGGGCCTTCCGGCGAGTAGCGAGCTGGCCTTTGCCAATATTTGCGACTTCCAACGGACTTCAGCAGACAGAGCTCGTCAAGGGGCACGAGCGAGGCCTTGGCGAGGTGTGCCTGCCGAGAGAAGAGGGAACATACATGGGTGTACAGAATCACTGGAGGAGCGAACCATATGTGTGTGTGGATGTGTGCGTGTGTGTGGTTGGATTACTTCTGCCGCTGCAGTGGGGGGTGGGGCGTCAAAAGACAAGCCGAGCAACGAGCCGAGCGAGACGCCAGAGTCGCAGTCGGATGTGCGTGGGAGCGGAAAGAGCAAGAGCAAGAGCAAGAGCAAGAGCAAGGGCAAGGAGTCTGTGAAGAGCTCGATCAAGACAGGCAAGAGCAAGGGCAAGGGCAAGGGCAAAGGAAAGGGCAAGGGCGGCAGTGGAGGCAAGAAGAAGGAGGACGACTACAAGCTCGAGACTTTTGTGCACGAGGACGGGACGACTTATCAGGTGTGCGTGGCGCGTGGTGGGGATCGGTACTACCTGGACCCGGCCAAGGACGACTGGGAGCCGTTCCCGAAGGAGTGGCTCAAGCGTGGCAAGTTCCAAGAGTTCCAAAAGGTGGTGTTTGTGACGTGGACCGATGTGGCGACAGGCATGGAGTATCTGACGTTTGAGGACTCGGGCGTGCGGTACTACTGCGACTTTCAGCTTGGCGAGTGGGTTCAGTTCCCGGAAGAGTGGGAGGATGCGCGGAAGGGCACGTTTGGCGGCGAGGTTGATCCGGACGAGTGGGCACAGAAGCATGAGCCGTCGGCGGTCGGCGGCTCGCAGTCTGTTGAGGCGCAGGTCTCGACGTACGAGGCGCCCACGGGCGAGGTATACACCACGTACATGGGCGAGGAGGTGACCCAAGTGTGGTACTACCTCGACGATGCTGAGCTCAAGTGGAAAAAGATGCCGCCGTCATGGGTTCGCGACATGAAGGAGAAGGCCGGCATTCCGCTCGAAGAGCACGAGCAGCAGATGCTGGGTGGGGCGGTGGAACAGGGCGACGCGGTGGAGCAGCTCGAGAAGGAGGTCCGCAACCTCAAGACCAAGCTCAAGCTCGCCCAGAAGCGTGCCAAGCGGGTGAAGGAGGTCGAGACCATCCGCGACACGCTCAAGGAGGAGCACGACCGGACCGAGACCAAGTTTGAGGAGATCATGGCCTCAAACCGGCAGCTGTCCAAGGAGAAGCTCGACCTTAAGAAGAAGGTCCGTGAGCTGACCAAGAACAACCGCCGGCTCAAGAAGGACCTCGACGACGCGGCCAAGAACGTCAAGATCGAATCCAAGCTCCGGGCATCGGCCGATACCGAGGAGCTGCTAGAGCGCAAGGATGCCGAGATTGCCAAGCTCAAGGCCAAGAACGCTGAGATGTCGTCGGCGCTCAACGCGTACTCGGAGGCACAGAACTCGGTCCGTGTTGTCGGCTCGGCCATCGGCTCGCTCGACGACCAGGTCGATGCCCTTCGCAAGGAGGCCAAGGCGCTCCGTAAGGCGCTCATCGAGCAGCAGCAAGAGTTTGTGGCCATCATGGCCGACATCTCGTCGGCGCTCGATGCCAAGCTGGAGGACACCACCCGCGCCATCCAGGAGTATCAGTCCAAGTACCGGGCCGAGTCGCTCAAGCGGAAGCTCCTCTACAACCAGCTGCAGGAGCTCCGCGGCAACATTCGCGTCTACTGCCGTGCCCGTGGCCTCCTTCCCAAGGAGGTCCAGGCCGGCTTCCGCGAGTGCACCAGCTTCCCCGGCGAGGGCGAGGTCTCCATCACTTCGGACGACGGCAAGGTTAAGGCCTTTGAGTTTGACTCGGTCTTTGGACCGGGGGCGACCCAGGACGAGGTCTTTGAGGACATGGAGCCGCTTATCCTCTCGGCCATCGACGGCTACAACGTTTGCGTCTTTGCCTACGGCCAGACCGGTGCTGGTAAGACCTTTACCATGATGGGCCCCAAGAACAACCGCGGTGTCAACTTCCGCGCCCTTGACAAGCTCTTCCGCTCCACCGATTCGGACTCGGACGCAGACTATGAGATCCTCGTCTCGTACCTCGAGATCTACAACGAGGAGATTCGTGACCTGCTCAACCCGCAGCAGTCCGAAAAGGGCTGGGGCAAGTCGGGCTCGTCGTCCAAGAAGCTCGACATCCGCCGTGGCCCGCACGGTATGGAAGTGCCGGACATCACCCTCGAACCCGTCGCCTCGACCCAAGACGTCATGGCCATCATGGCCAAGGGCGACAAGGCACGGTCAGTCACGGCCACGGCCATGAACGACGTCTCGTCGCGCTCGCACTCGATCATGCAGGTCCGCATCACCTCGACGAACCGCATCTCGGGCGCAAAGGCCTTTGGCAAGCTCACACTCGTCGATCTTGCCGGTTCAGAGCGCGTCGGCAAGTCCAAGGCCACCGGCCAGGCCCTTGCTGAGGCCGCCGCCATCAACAAGTCGCTCTCTGCCCTCGGCAACTGCATTTCCGCCATCTCCTCCGGCAAACCGCACGTGCCCTACCGCGACTCTAAGCTCACCTACCTGCTGCAGGATTCGATCGGCGGTGACTCTAAGACCCTCCTCTTTGCCAACATCAATCCGGCCTCGGAGCACTTTACCGAGACCGTCTGCACCCTCCAGTTTGCCACACGCGTCCGCTCTGTCGTCCTCGGCCCGGCCTCCAGGAACTCCACAGGCAGCGGGCCGAAGGTCCGCGGTGCTGGTGGCCTCGTCCCGAAGCTCCCCGATGGACGTGCTGTCTCGGTCTCGATGCCGCCCAAGGCCTAGCGCCTAGCTACAGAGTAACACGGAGAATCTTGTCTCGTCTATCACCTTTATGGCCGTGGCCCGATGGCCTGCTGCGCTCCGCTCCGCCTCGCCGCCGCTGCTCTCGACACCGAGACAGTAGATTTGACCTGCCCACTGCACACCTCACCCTCTCCCCCGCCCTCCTCCCTCCCCTCCACCCCTCCACCCCCCTACCAGGTATGTCCACCCCCCCCACTCAGCCCAACCACCCCCTTTCCCTACCCCACCCCCACCCCCCGCTCCGCTACACCCCCGTGTAGCAGTGACTGTCCCCAGCCCGCCAAAAAGGGCGCCAATGGCCATTTCGACAACCTCCAGCAGCCCCCCCCCCCCCCCCCCCCTCCGCACCACCCATGCACCCCCCTCCCCTGGACCACTGCATGCCCCCTTTCCATCCCCCCCCCTCCCCTACCCCTTCCTCATCTCCCCTCCCCTCCCTCCATCGCCACCACCCTCACCGTCACCCCACCTTCCCCCCTTCCCCCCCCTCCTCCCCCTCCCCACACAATGCGTCTCGCTGTCACTCGGCGGCAAACCCCCGCCGGGTGTTTGTGCTTTCTACTGGCATTTGGGCGCCAACGCAAACATGGCCCCGCCCCACAACGCAGGCTCTCCTGAATACCTCCTTCCATACACAACAAGTCAGCTCGATGTCGCGTGGAAAGAAGGCTACCGCCTCGACTCGTGCCGTCAAGAAGAATGCCACTGGTGGCCATTCTGGACAGGCCACGCCCGTGGGCTCGGCAGCGTCAAAGTCGGCCAAGAGCTCAAAGTCAAAGTCGTCGACGAGCAAGCCATCAAGCAGGCCGACGTCGGCCGCAGGCAAGTCGTCCGAGTCGCGCAAGGAAAAGTCGCTGGGTAAGCTTTGCTCGCGTTTTGTCTCGATGTGCGAGGAGCTCGACTCGGACATCGTCGAGCTGCTTGAGGCGACCAAGACGCTGGGTGTCGAGCGCCGGCGCATCTACGACGTTGTCAATGTACTCGAGGCCCTGACCGTCATTGAGCGACTCGGCAAGGCACAGTACTACTTTCACGGCATGTCCGCCCTCCGCGGCCTTGTCGAGCGGCTCAAGATCGAGATCAACGCCGGGTACTGGGTTGGCATCGTCCCGCCGGCCCTCCGCCCACCGCCTGGGCCTTCGGGTAAGCAGGCCGAGCCGCGCAAGCTCCGCCTCCTCTCGCAGCTCACCCGCCAGTTCCTCAAGTTTGTTGTTGCCTCCTCGGACCATTCCATCAGGCTCGAGGCCGCCGCCGATCAGCTGCTCCGGATGGAGGGCTGCGACGAGACCATGGCGCGCGAGCGCCGCAATAAGCTCCGCCGTATGTACGACATTGCCAACGTGCTCGAAGCTCTTGGCCTCGTCAAGAAATCGTTCCGCGGCGGCTCCTCGGCCCGCAAGATGTACACTTGGGCCTCGTTTGAACTCGCCGACATTGGCCCTCCCCTCGACATCGACGCCGGCCTGGCCGCGGTCATCGAGGGTGTGGCCGGCGCCGCCCGCATGCCGCCGTCCGCCACCCTCCCCAAGATCTCGCCGGCGCTCCGCGGCGTCACCCCGCGTTCGCGCTCTGCGCGCGAAAACACCTCGTTTGTGCCTATCGGCGGCACTCCGCCGGTCACCTCGCCGTCCTCGCCCTCGCTGCCAGAGGTCGAAACTGGCTCGACCATGTCGTACCATGCCCTGCTCTCGCTCATGGGCTCCAAGTCAGCACCGGCAGCCACCGAGTCGCAACCTCCACAGGCCGGCGGCATCAACCCCGGCCCCAGCCTCGCGCGTACTCTCGAGTCGGCGCACTACCTCGCCCGCGTCATGCGCGTTATGAACGCCGCCTCGCTCGAGGTTCCCGCCATGCTTAAGACCTACGTCGACCGAGTCCTCGACGCCCAGACCGAGCTGAACATGGCGTGCGTCGAGCCGTTCTCCGTCCCGGTCCCGGTCCCGAACACGCTGTCCACTGCTGCGCCGACACCTGCGCCTGCGCCTGCACCTGCACCTGCACCTGCACCTGCTGCCGCATCCGCGCCCGCGCCCGCGCCCGCGCCCGCGCCTGTATCTGGTACTCCGCCAGCCTCGCAGCCGACCAAGGTCATCGTTGCAGCTGGCACCCCGGCGGCCCGCCGCCCGGCGGCGCAGGTGGCGGCCTCGTCATCCTCGGCCTTTTCTCCGTTTACCAACTCTGCGCCGGAAGCTGCGTCCGCCCCCACAACCGCTCCGCGCCGCGTTGCCCGCTCCTTGGACACCACGCCCGCCAACGAGCCATCGCCAGCCGTCGCTCCGGCGGTGGCGACCGCGCCCACCTCGCCAGCAGCGACCGCAGTTCCTGCGGCCTCGCCGGCGGCGCGGTCGGCGTCCGCCACGCCCTCGCGCAAGCGCCCGCGTTCGGCCCAGGCGACAGTCGCCAGCGAAGGCGCCGGCTCGCCGCACGACCTGCTCCCCGGCTCGCCGCATACACCACCCAACAAGCGCCAGCGGATGCTCGAGGCGCCTGCATTTACCAGCAGCCCCTCATCGTACGAGGCCGGCACTGGCCCACAGGCCTTCCGCTCACCCACCGCCGCCGGATCGACCACCCCGCGGAGCCTCTCCTTCTCGCGCGTCGACGTCCTCACCACCACACCTGTCAAGCCGCACGACCCGTCCATCTTTGACGAAGTCGAGGTCCTCGAGGTTGCCTTTGATCCGTAGCCGCTGCTAAATACCGGCTGTAATCTGCCCCCCGCCTCACCGGCCGCCAGCACCGCTCTCCGAGCCGGCAAAGCCCTTAGCCACCAGGAACATCTCCCTGCTCTCGGACCGTGACGCCTTGGGCTTGACCAGCACCACCTTGGCAAACAACTCGCGCGCCTCGTCCAGCGCCGCGCGTTCCATCCCGTTGCGGAAGATCTTGGCCACCATGCTGCCGCCACGAACAAGGACCGCATCAGCGAGCGCCAGCGCCGCCTCGAACAGAGCCTCGGCTCGGGCCCGATCCGTTCCGCGATGCCCGGTTGCCGCCGGCGCCATGTCCGATGCCACCACGTCAAAGACACCCAGCTCGTCCAGCTCGAGCTCTTCCATCACCATCGAATGATGGACGTGTGCAAGGCCAGAGCTCTGGAGCCACGCCACAACCTGCGGACTCATCGCGCCCGGGTCGACGGTCACCAGCTCGGCTGCCGGTGAGCCACGGACGAGCGCATCGCCGATCTCGCGAGTCCACGATCCAGGTGCGGCACCGAGCTCCAGCACCCGCTTGACGCCGGGGGTAACGATCTTGTGCTTGGCGTCGAGTTCCGACCACTTGAACGCCGCCCGCGAGACCTTGCCTTGTGCCCGGGCCTTGCGCACGTACTGGTCGTCGGCCTGCCGCCGCCGCCACGACGACGACGACGACGCCCGCGCCAGTCGCACCTGTGCCGCATACAGACAGCGGAGCGCATGAAGCATGTGAGGAAAAGTAACGTGCGCGTGCTACCGGTGTGCGTGTACTCGCTGTACGAGGAGTGTGACTGTAGCCGCAGCTACAGCTGCCGACAAAGTCGGGTGAGCGGCGCGTCGTCCGAGTCTGAGTCCGAGGCGGTGGCTCCGGCCGGCGCGAGAGGCGCTGGCGGATCGACGTCAGACTCGGGATCGAGGTTGATGACGATGGGCGGCGGCGAGGTGAAGACTGACGGCGAAAGGTCGGCAAAGAGCTCCGAGTGGCTCCGCCGCGGAGCTGTTGTTGTCGGAGCAGGTGTTGCCCGCGACCGCGCCCTAGCCCGGAGCGGCGACGGCGTCGGCGGCAGCGGCGAGCTTAGCAGGTCGCGCTCCTCGGCGAGCTCCAGCTGTGAGCTGATCCGTGCAGCGGTGCTTGCAATCTCGACGGCTGTTGTGCGCGGGGACGGCAGAATGCGCGGCGAGAGCGGAAGGCGCGGCGGCGGAGTTGGCGCCGCTGGCGTTGGCGGGGGAGTCGGCGACGATCTCACCACTACCGGTGAACGCAAACGCCGCATTGGCGCCGGCGGAAGCGGATCTGCCGGAGCCACGGTACTCTCAGCATGGTCAAGACCTGCCACCCTCTCCGCGAGAATGTCGACGCCAGGTATACCCTCGCGGGGTACGTTGGTCTCGGCCATCCGCCGCCAGCTCGCCGCCAGGCTCGGTTCGAGACTACCGGCTGCGACGGCGGTGGCGTTGTACAGCGATGGCAGATGCCATGGAGCCGCACGTCGTGCGAGCGTGAAATGCCGCCGAGCAAGCGACACTTCGCCCCCTCCCCAAGCCACGAGGCCGAGGTGATTGTGAGCAAGGGCGGCGGCCCAGTTGGTGGCGGCAGCGATGGGGGCATCCGGCCGCGGTCCCCGCCCGGGCGCCGGCGCTTCCTGCAGCACTTGCAGCGCCGCGGCAACCGTGGATCGCGCATCGCCTCGCGCCCACGCTTCCGCCATTTGGGCAGGAGCAGAACGGGGCGCGCGTCGAGGGAGCCATGCCTCGCTCAACGGGCGGATGACGAGCGCATTCGTGCGCCACTCGCTGCCCAAGTGACCGCCGCCATCGCTGTTGGCGTCGGCGGCGCCACTGGGCGAAGCGAGAGCACGGGCCTCGACCGCGAGTGCTGCGTAGAAACCGACCACATGGGCAAGAGCCGGATCAGCAGCCGCGGCCTTTTGCGCTGCAGCAGCGAGAGTCTGAAGTGCGGGCGCCAGGAGCGTGGCCTTACGCAAAGTGCGCGGGAGGCGGGCGAGGATACAAAGGATGTTGTGGACAAGCACTGGAGCAAGGAGAATAGAGTTGTGGCAATCTGCAGCCTCAAGCATGCTCAGTGCGCGCTGGGCTGCATGGAGCGCGGTGTGCGGCCTATCGACCCTCAGCGCGGCTGCCGACGCGTTGGCGTAGGCCTCGACCATCGCCTGCGCATCGGTGCCAGGGCTGTCGACGGCACGAAGGTACGCACCGAGCGCAGCGTCCCACTCATGGCGAGCGAGCGCAGCGCGACCTTCGGCGAGCCAGGCCTGCGGGGTGATGAGCACACCAGCCGTCGGCCGCTGGCGCGCCATCGCGGCGACGCGGGCGGCGACCGGCTGCAGCGCATCCACCGACGCACTCAACGAGGAGACGTTGCTATGGAGTGCAGCGAGGAGTGCCGTGTCACGGCGTAGGTGACCGAGCAGCGCAAGCGCCTGCGCAGCAAGCACAAGCGCGGCATCGTCGGTATGGAGCTCACAGTGGCCGGTCCATGCCCCAAGTCCAGCACGCTCGAGAACGACAGCGACAGTCCACTCGAGACTTGCCTGGTTCGGATCTGGCACAGCACGTAGCGCCGCAATGCGCAATGCTGCCCAGCTGTCGAGTATCTCCAGAGCATCTGCATCGCGTCCGGCTCTAGCCTGGGATGACGCGGCGGCGTAGACCGCAGCCAGCACCGCGAGCGCCGAGTACGGCGAGCACGCCTTGTCCAGCAGCATTGCGGACCGCAACAGCGAGAGAAGCGAGTCAAGATCGTGCCGCAGCTCGGCGGCCTTGTCTCCACCGGCGCGGCTAGCGGATAGTCGAACGAGCAGGTCGTAGGCAGCCAGATGGAGGGATCGGGGGCGCGGCAGCGCGTCCAGAAGCGGCGGGAGCGACGGCAGGGCCGAACACCACTGCGGAGTCAGAGCAATGAGCAGCAGCGCCTCGTGCGCCTCGTCGCCATCAAGCAGCTCGGGCAGATACGGCTCCCAGGCAGCAACGCCGAGGTGGTCCGCCAGCAGGGCATCGGCAGATTCACGACCTTTTCCGGACGGCGAGCCGACGACCGGCTCGTCCTCGTCCGACTCTGACGCGGGCACAAAGGCACGAGAGGCGGTGCGACAGAGGTCGGGAGGCACACTGCCAAGTCCACTGCTTCCGTGTCTCGCGGGCGTGACTTGTGCCCGGGCATGCAAGGCGCTGGCCACCACGCCCACCAGAGGCTGGGCCCTCGTCGGAGGCACGACAGCAGTGGTAGCCGCGAGGGCCGCCAAGAAGCGTGCTGTGGCTGGAGACGATGGTCGCAGCCATGTGCTTACCACCTGCATGGTGGAGGGGTGAGGGTCAGATTTGTAGAGTGTGTGGAGTGTATGTGCGTGTGTGTGTGTGTGTGTGTGTTTGTGGTGGTGGTGGTGGTGTTGGTGGTCGTGCCTGCCTTGGTCTGGGCTCTGGGGAAGGGGGGAGGGAGGGGCGGGTTCGGATCGGATGGGACCATATGTGGGCAAGGGATTTCCACAAGAATACACATGTGCAGACGTGCTGCGGTCATGATGGGGAAGCGTGCGATGGCCGTGACCTGTCCGTGCACGCAGTTGGGCACGAGTGAGGACGCCTGGTCACCGTGGCGGCATAGCCACTCCACTCGACGACATGATGGCAAAGGCGCAGAGGGGCAAGTGTTCAAGCGTGGTATGCGTGGTACTGGTAATGGTGGCGGCGGTGGCTGTGCTGGTGTGTGATGGTGCGGCCCAGGACGATTCGGGTTATGTGCTGGAGGCTCCCGAGTGCTCGGCGCCGTTTGCGTTTGGGACGGCGGCAACGACGGCGCCGTTTGTGGTGTCGTCAGGTGCGAGGCAGGCGCCTGTACACAGGACTGTGGCAAAGGTGTGTCATCTGACCGGCGATGGCTACGCCGGACTGTTCTTCGAGTACACAGCCCAGGACTCGTACATCTACAACCCGTTTACCGAGTGCGACGATCACCTGTACGAGTACGACGCGGTGGAGGTGTTCATCGCGCCTGGGCTAGGCTACCCGGCGCAGGCGCCGCAGCACTACGTCGAGATTGAGGTCTCGCCCAAGGGCGTGCTCTTCGAGTCACACATTACCAATCCGGACGACGACTGCGCCGGTATGACTGGGGATCTGATGGCGTGCAACGCGACGGCGATCGAGGCGCGGGCGCGGGTGACGCCCGACGGGTGGACGGCGGCGGTGTACGTGCCGTATGTAACCGTGGCGCCAGGAGCTCATCCGCCGCCATCAGCGTGGCACCTCAACATGTTCCGCATCGATGTTGTCTCGCCGTCGGCTGGCGAGCAGTTTCTGGCCTGGTCGCCGACGTACAAGTCGCCGCCGTGCTTCCATGTCCCGTCGGCGTTTGGCAAGGTGGTGCTGGTGTGAGGCACTCACTAACCGCGGGCGCGGGTCGACGGCGGGTTGATAAACGGCACCCAGTGAAGGGCCTCGCGGTCGATGACCGGCGGCATGCGCGGCTTGCCGTTCTTGTACAGGTACTTGTTGATGAGCGACGGTGGGGCGTAGAGCTCGCGGGTCGACGACGCCGAGATGACCCCGATCAGCTGCAGGGTCTTGACAATGTCCTCGGCCTTGATGCACGTCTCCTTCTCCATGGAGCGGATAGAGATCTTGTCGAGGTCGGTGTCTTTGAGCAGGACGAGCAGCGACTTGGACCAGTACGAGCGGTATGAGAGGAGGCCGAGGTCCGAGAGCGGTGTCTCGGGCCCACCCGGCTGGTGCTCAACCTTGGAGAGCTCGTAGGAAAAGGCGATCATGAGCATGCCGTAGCCCTTGCGCTGGTAGCACGGCAGGGTCATGATGCACGCCACGTTGTTGTTGGTGGACGAGATCTTTTCCTTGGAAAAGTAGCCGACCATGTGGTAGCCACGGTCGGAGACCTCGCAGAGGACGTAAAAGAGGAACGGATCGACGTCGTAGAAGAGAGTCTTGTGGTCGAGAAAAAGCTTGGAGATGAGGCAGAGGTTCTGGCAGTACGCCTTTTCGACGCATCCGTCGACCTCGAAGAAAGCCACCCCGTCCTTGCGGTAAATCTCCATGCCTGGCGGGTGGCGTAGCGTGCACTTGCGCTGGTGCCGGCGGAGCTGGTGGTGCGACGAGTTGTACTGCAGGCAGAACTCGCAGAGCCAGATCTTCTTGTCGCGACAGACTTCGGCCGGGTACGGCGAGTAGTACCAGGTCTCGACCTCAAACTTACCGTAAACAATCGTGTTGATGTTCTTGACCAGGTTGGCGTGGGTTGTGTCTGCCGATGCCAGCGAGCCGGACACGTGGTGCTTGTCCTCCGAGTCGTCAGCCTTGGAGCCCGAGCCCTTGGCCTTGGTCTTCTTGCGCGAGGCCTTGGACTTCTTGGTCGACGCGCCCTCGTTGTCGTCCTCCACCTCCATGTCGGTCACGTCGCCGCTGCCGTCGCCGTCGTCCTTGCTCGACGCGCCGCGGCGGCCGCGCGATGCCGACTTGCGGCCGCCTTTGCCCTTGCGGCTGCCCTTGCCCTTGCTAGCCTTGGACTTGCTCGCCTTGGACTTGCTCGCCTTGGTGGCCTTCTTGGACGACCCGCCGTGGCCACTACCGCCCTCGGGCTCCGGGTAGGAGATGTTGTCGAGGTCCAGCTCCTTGGCCGTCACCCATGTATCCAGCCGCTTGTTGTAGTCGATAAAGTGGACGTAGTACTGCCCATTCTCAATCTCCAGCACCTCGGCCAAGACCTGCTGCTGCTCCAGGCCGCACCATGCCGGCAGCCGGGCGCCCACACGGACACCGTGCTCGTCCATGGGCGGTGGCGGTGGTGTAGCCTTGCGCTCCTTGCGCGGCATCTTGCACTCTCACTATATACGTGTGTATGTATGTATGTATGTGTGTGTGTGTGTGTGTGTGTGTGTGTGTGTGTGTGTGTGCTGTGTGTTGTGAGACAGAGCCGGAAGGGGGAGTGAGGGGGAGTGGTGTGGTTGTGGGCGTGGTTGTGGCTGTCCTCGTAGGTGTTTGCCTCTTGGCGCTTGCGCCACCGAGTCGCCCTCTGCTGCCCCCCTCCCCCCTCCCCTCCCCCCCCCCCCCCTCCGCTCGTTGCGACGCGCTGCACGATTGGCACGTACTTTGCGCGCCGCCACATGCTTCTCGCTCGCAACACTGCATCATGATCCTCGTTTCCCTGGCCGATCTTCGTGTGCCTCTCCCTCGACGGCATTCCGAGGAGTCTCCACCACCAGCTCCTGCGCGTGGGACGCCAGGCCACGACGCCTCGGTTCACGCCTACACCACGCCCACACCACCCATACTCACTCCCCACTCCACCTGCTCCACAACAGGACAAGGGGGCTTCCCACCGCATAGACCACGTCGACCGCACACTCGTACTCGTACTCGTCGGACAGCGGAGAAATGGAGGTGGAGCTGGCTGGAGAGACACGCGACTCGACTGCGCTGCTGTCCGAGAAGGGCAAGGGCAAGGGCAAGGGCAATGGCCGAGGCCCTCAGGAGGATGGCGGTGTGGTGGCTCGAGAGAGCGGCGGCGGATGGATGATGGCCCACCGGCGATGGCTGATCGTGGCGGTGGCGGTGGTGCTGGTCCTGGGCGCGAGCGCGGTGGGCGTGGGCGTGGCGGTGGCTCATGCCCGCAACAAGACCAGCTCGGCCGATCCGGCCGATGGAGGCTCTGGTGAGCATGTGGTCATCCTTGTCTCGCTCGATGGCTTCCGGCCAGACTATTTTACGTCGCAGAGGGTGCCCACTCCCGGGCTGGACGCGCTGCGGGCGGATGGCGTGCTTGCTGAAGGCATGATCCCACAGTTCCCCTCGCTCACCTTTCCCAACCACTACTCCGTGGTCACCGGCCTGCATCCCGAGTCGCACGGCATTCTGGAGAATGACATGTACGATCCGGACCTCAACGCTACCTTTCGCATCTCGAACTACGCGGCCGTCTCCAACGGCGCATGGTGGGGCGGTGAGCCGATCTGGGTCACGGCCATCAAAGTTGGCTACAGGGCCGGTGTGTACTTCTGGCCCGGCTCCGAGGCGCCCATCCAGGGCGTCCGCCCGGACTACTACTACCGCTACAACTCGTCGGTTCCCTACCCGGAGCGGGTCGAGACGCTTCTGGGCTGGCTCGCCCAGCCGCCCGCTACCCGCCCCCGGTTCATGGGCCTCTACATGTCGGCAGTCGACACGGCCGGCCATTACTACGGCCCGGACTCTTCACAGGTTGACGCAGCCATCGTTCGCGTTGACGCCGCCCTACACCAGCTTCGCGAAGGCGTTGCCCGGCTCGGCCTCCTCTCCAAGGTCAACATCGTTGTCCTCGCCGACCACGGCATGACAGAGGTCTCGTCGTCGCGCGGCCTCGCGCTCGACAACTACGTCAACGTCATCGACACGCCGGCGCACCCTGTCGACGAGCAGCTGGCGAGCGATGCCGCCGTGCCCACGGTCCGTGGCCACCTGCTCAACCTCTCACCGGTCCTCCAGTTCTGGCCGGACACACCGGCCGATGGTGACGCCTTTTTTGATGCACTCGTCACCGCCTCGCCGCACCTCACCGTCCTCCGCAAGTCGCAGATCCCGCGCTCGTACTTTTCGCCGACAACATCCGCATCCCGCCTATTGTCGCCTTTTCGTCACTCGGCTGGAAGCTCGTCCGCACAAACGCATCAATCGCCAACATCGGCGGCGGCGCCCACGGCTACGACCCGGCCAACAAGGATATGCACGCCCTGTTCATTGCCTCGGGCCCGGCCTTTAAGTCCGGCGCCTCGTTCCCCGAGTTTTCCAACATCCACGTCTATCCCCTCCTCTGCAAGGTCCTCGGCCTCACTCCCGCGCCGAACAACGGCTCGCTTGCGCTTGTCGAGGGCATGCTGGCGTAGTCGGCTCGTCATGGCAGCCGCAAGGCAGCATATTAAAGTGCTGAGGGAGAGTTGAGGGGAGGAGGGTTTGTGTCGGCGGTAGACAAGGGGTGTGGGGGCAATGATGGCCAGTGTGAGTGATCGATGGTTTCGCCATGGGTCGGACGTACGGGAACAAGGCTCTCACACGATCTACCCTCGACGATCGTGTGAGCCGCGGTTTGTCAGCGCTGCTCGGCAAGCGATTTGATGAGCGCGAGCGCCGACGCAAATTGGGTAAACCAATACGTGTCCTGCGTCGACTCGGCAGCCCGCGGCCGGTAGTACGTCTCGATAAACTCGCGATTGAGCTCAAGCCACGGCGTGCCGGAGCGGACGAGAACGTAAGTAAAGACCGGGAAAAATCGTCCGCACCAGGCACTGATCCGGACGACGCCAGCAGCTCCATCAAAAGCACTGCTGTGTTGCGGATGACGGCAAGCTTGGAGCGTGGCGACTTGTGGAGATTGAGCGTGCCTATGGCTTCTTGCGCCGCGCTCCACGGGGCCTGATCGAGAAACTCGGGCGCGATCTGGAGCGCTTCGTCACTCGGCTCGATGTTACTCAGGCGCTTGAGCCACGCCATCGAGACGTCGACCGTCTTGTTGCCCTTGGCCCACCCGTGTGGCCGTGGGTAGAAGACCACCGAGTAGATCTGCGACATGACCGCCATTTCGAGCGTTGTTCGCGCGTCGAGCTCCTCGAACAGCTGTGTCGGGAGCTTGGACTCGGTGAGGACTCTGCCCCACACGTCGCTGCGCGGCGAGAGCAACGACACCGGGCCGGCGTCGTCGGCCGATGTGCCGGCCGAGCTCGAGCTTGCGCCATCAGCGCTGGCTGCCGACCCTGCGGCGACGCCCGACTCGGCCAGCCGAGCCTCAAGCAGGTCCATGAGCTTGACCACCGCGTCGGAACGCTCGTCGTTGCGGATGAGCGACGAAAACTTGGCCTTGAACGTCTCCACCTCGGCCGCGTGCGCGTCAAGCACATGCTGCACTGCTGCCAGCTGCTGGTAGTTGAGCGAGAGCTTGATGGCGTCGTGGACCCGGTCGATGTCCGCCTCGAGCGCTGCGTACGCGAGGACCAGCTCCTCGTGAACTCCCTCCAGGTAGCTCGAGTACGTCCGCCGCGCCTCCAGGTCGGCAATGAGCGAGACGAGGACCGGGACGTAGCCAGCGGCGGCATAAGACTCGGGCAGGGCAGCAAGCGACGCTTGCGCCTTGTCGAGGAGAACAACCATGCGCGGTGAGCGGTGCGCGAGTCGATGCGCCGCCGCCTCAAGCACAGCTGGCACCGAGTCGAGGAGCATGTCGTGCGCCCGGAGTGGCAGCTCGGTAAAGACCGAGCGGAGCGTGGTTTTGGCGATGGCGAGCGCGGGCGGGTCGGCGGCGGTAGCGGCGGCGACAGCCGGCGCGCTTGCTGCCACTACAGCGTCCTCGGGCTGAATGGCAACTGCCCACGGCCGGTCGGGCCTCTCGTCCCCGGGCGCCCAGACAGCAGCAGTGGCAGCGTCGTTGAGCGGGAGCAGGTACACGGCGTTGGACGGCGCGGCAGCCGCAAGCTTCTCTGCGTCGAGCTTCTTGAGGCGAGCGAGAAAGACTGACATCTTCGAGTCGCGGTTGCCGGTCCGTGCGTCGAGAATGGGCGCGGTCTTGGCCATGCATGCCACCAGCGCCAGGATCTGGGGCATGGAGAGTGTAGCCCACGCGGTGCGCCCAAGGCCAGGCTGGACGGCCGGGATGGCGAGAGTGAGAGTGGCAAGCGGGAGCGGCGACATGACAGCGGTGACAATGTCGTCGGCGTTGATGGCGGCGAGCCGGTCAACAAGCGGCGCAAGGTACGACTCGCGGAAGAGCCGCTTCGGTTCGCCGGAGATGGCACCCTGCACGGCTTTGGCGAGAAGAGTGAGGTTGCGGCGGGCAAGCTGCGGAACGACCGTGTCGGCGAGCACTCCATACGGCTCGGGCGTGATGATGGCAGGGACAATGAGCCGACGGAACAGAATCTCGGTCACCAGCTTGGTCTGGGCTGCCTCGGGGTTATCCAGCTCGAGCGCCTCGACCGCCGACGCTGCAACCGACGAGAGGACGGCGCGGAACCCGGTCGGCAGCAGCACAATGTGGTTGCGGATGGCATTGAGAACCGAGCTGACGGCGTCGACCATGCGGTCGAAGCGGCCGGTAAGGACCTTGATCATGTTAGGGTGCGACGGAAGGGTGGCGTCGGCTTTGACATTGGCCAGGTACTGGCACTGCTTCTCGGATTCAGGCATGCGGGCCAGCAGCAGGGCGGGCACCAGCTCGAGATCGAGCTCCGGATCAGCGAGGAGCGAGACCAATGGCTCACGGAGAACAGCAACAAGAAACGACTGGAACTCAAACGAGTACGATTTGCAGTAGAGGACAAGCATGCGGACGCCGATGGAGCGCGGGTGGAGAAAGTCGGCGAGCGATGCGGACATGGCGAGCGTCCGCTTTAGAATGGCCCCGGTCAGCCGGACGAGAGCATACTCTTCGACCGGTCCGTGGTGGTTGTGGAAGAGGCCAAGGACCACCGCATCGGTCAGCGCGTCCAGCTCGGCCATCGACAGCTCGCGCGAGAGCAGCGCGTCCTCGATGTACTCGGGCGCCGTCCGCAAGAGCGAGACAAACTCGGTGACGTCGACCTGCTTGGAGCCAAAGACGGCCAGCGAGGTGACCAGCTCGACGGAAGCCGCACTGCCCACCACGTCTGTGATGTGGATCTTGTTGTTCACCAGCGCCTCCACCCGCTTGCGCAGCACCCTGTCTGTCGCCGTCAGCCGAGCCAGACTCTCGCATCGCCCGGCCATGTCCCTCCGCAGCGCCGCCAGGGTGGCTTGGGCCGACTTGACCCGCAGGCTTTCCTTGGTCAGTAGCGTGTGTACCCGGACGCATAGCTCTCCAGCCATTGGTCTGCGGGGTTGTGGTAGAGATGTGTGTTTGTCTGTGTGTGTGTGTGTCTGTCTGTGTGTGTGTGGCCTTTGTGCGGAGAGTTCTGTCGGTCGCTGGCATGACAGCCGGGGGGGGGTATTGTGGTGATGATGATGGTGATGGGGACGATGGTGGTGAGGATGGTGGGGATGGGGGTGGAAATGGCTGAGATGGTGGTTATGGCAAAGGGTATGCGATGATTATGGCCATGATGACCTGACCCTGTGGCTTATCCATGTCAATGACGATGCCCCTGTTCCTGCCGTTGCGCACACCACCAACGGTCTCTCCCCTCAGGCCACCGCCACCACCACTGCCCCCCACACTCGACTAGGGACACGGCGACTGCCATGGCCAAAGTTGTCATCAATGAACCAGTCCATAGGTACGTACCAACCGCCATGATGATGGCATACTTGGCGAGGGGGGGGGGGGAGGGAGGGAGGGGGTGTCCACTGCGCGCGCTCTCCACGCTCTGCCCCCCCCTCCCCCTCCAGCCGAGCCAACCGCCACCAGTCAGCCACTTGGAGCAAAGCAAGGAGGAGCAGGCAGCCGGCCAGGCCACCCGCTAGCCACCACCGGGCACTTGCCACTTGTCAAGTCATGGAACTTCAATGGAAGCAAGGACTCACATCGGTTGGATTGTTCTTCACATCGGTTGCCTCGGCTTCGTCTGTGATGTGATGGCTTCGGGACGCACATCGGGGGTGGGCGGCGGACAGGGTGGCGCCAGAGCCCGTCTCGTCAGGCATCTCGTTCCGAAAGCTGCCGAGGGCGAGCCTGATTGAGCTTGGGCGAGTGTGTGATCACTACGAGGCCAAGGGCGCAGGGACGTATGGGCGCGGATCCAAGGCAACGCGGTATGTGTACGACATGGCCAAGGAGGTACGGCAGATCATCCGCGGGCTGGAGGAGGAGGAGCGCGCTGCCTCGCTCCACACCCAGCACCTGGAGCGCATCGTGGGTGAGTGGCATGATGTCTTTGGCCGCCTCGGCTCGCCCGAGCTGGCTGAGCACTTTCCGGCAGGCACCAAGTTGACGCCGGCGTCGCTCTACGCCAAGCTGCGAGAGTATGCCGAGCGTATCCGTAGCCTCGAGTCGACGCTTCAGCGGCTGTCGGCAGCTACGGGCGACCGTGACGCCAAGTATGAGGTCGCGCTGGCCGAGGCCGAAGCGCTGGCGGCTGCCCGCCTCGACGCGGCGCTAGCCGAGCAGGCGCGCGAGGCCAAGGCCGCAGCAGACAAGGCGGCGCGCGATGCGGATGCCCGAATTGCCGCTGCCGAGGCCCGTTATGTCGAGGCCTGCCGCGATGTGTTTGAGTACAAGTCTGCTGAGGGCAACGCCCGGGTTCGCGAGCTCGCCACGCAGCTCGAGCGCGAGCGCGCAGCCAACATTGAGCTTGGCAAGGAGAACGAGTTGCTGCTGCACACGCTCCAAGGCCAGCTCGAGGTTCAGTACGCAGCGTCCGAGGCGCGGTGGCAGAATCTGCTGGCCACCTCCGAGGCGGCGCACGCGTCGGAGCTCGAGGCACAGGCACAGTACTACGAGAGCATCATTGACGCGCTTGAAGCCGGCCTTCCGGCAACGGCGTCGGCGGCCGACAAGCGGCTCGGCCAGCTGCTGACCCAGCTGACGCGGGCGCGCGAGGACCGCGCCATGCGCGCTGCCGGCGGCGGCTCTGCAGCCGCACAGATGCCGCTGCCGCGGCTGCGGCCCGACAATCCGGAGCAGTGGGAGGACAACACCGTGTCGTGGCGGTCGATGTACGAGGCCAAGCGCAAGGAACTGGCCTTTCAGCTGGCTGCCAACGCAGCGCTGGTCAAGGAGCTTGCTCACCTCCAGACGCGTGGCGAGACGCCGGCCGCCGCTGCCGCCCTCGGCCCGAAGCTGGAGGACGCCCGCCAGAACGAGGCCATGCTCCAGGCCCGGATTGAGCAGCTGATGGATATGATCCAGGCCATGGAGCACGAACGCAACAACGCCGAGCTCATGGCTGCGCGCACCGCCGTCTCGGACCTGCGCGTGCCGTGGGCGCTTCCCTACGTCTCCTCGCTCCGCAAGCAGCGCCGCAACGAGCCATACGCACCCGCCTTTGTCGGCACCGGCATCGCCGAAGCTGCTGCACAAGCCGAGGCCCACAACCATGATCAGGCCCTTGACCAGCTCCGTGTCGTCCACCACTAGATGCTTAAACGCAGGCCACAGTTTACCCCTCCTCATCGCAGCACCGTTCCACCCCAAACACAAGCCCGATGCAGCGAGAGGAGAGGCCGGGCGGGAGGCCAGGTCACTCGTCGCTCGTTCGCCAATGGTTGCCACTCGCCGTTCGCGGCGCCGCCAGCCGAGCGCCAGCCCTGTGGCCAAGCCGAGCCCTGCAAAGACACGACGGAGCCGCCGGAGCAAAGCACCTTCCCCAGCAGCACCACCTTCACCCTCACCGTCACCCTCATCGTCACCCCCACCACCTCGCCGCACCCGCGCCCGCCGCGCCGCCACCCACACCGCCGCCGAGGATGACAGCCAGGATGATGGCGAGTTCGACTCGGGCACCGAGCCCGCCCCCGAGTCGGGCACGGACTCGGACTCGGCTGTGGAGAGCATGGACGCAGAGGAAGCATCCGACTCTGCCGCTGGCCCCCTGTCGGATGCTGCTTCCGATGCCGGCACCGACGACGCCAGCGAAGAGGATGCCGAGGACGAGGCTGAGGACGGCGACGACGGCGCCGCCGAGGTCAGCGACGGTGAAGAGGCCGTGTCGCCCGCCACACACACAGACGCTGCACGCTCAACTGGCCCACTGCTCTCGCTGGACGTGCTCGAAGCGCTGGAGGAGGTCGATGCGGCGACAGAGGCAACATCGTCGGGCGCTGGGAGGAGTAAGGCGAAGCGGAAGCGCAAGCTGACCGGTGACGAGGCTGTGGCCTTTGCCCTCGCCGAGGCTCGGCGAGCCAAGCGCGCCAAGCGTGAGCAGCGCGTGTCGTCGGCTCACACCGGGTTCCGCGTCGAGACGCTCGACTCGATCAGCCTCGAGGCGACCGGCCACGCCCGCGCGGCGGCCGCCAACGCATTTGTCCGCCGCACTAAGAAGCGAGTCGCCCGCTCTCGGGATGTCTTCCTCAAGCGCGGCCTCGACAAGCGCAAGACCAAGGCCAAGCTCTCCCGGACCGACAAGGCCATGCAAGCTGCACTCGCCTCGGTCGGCGTCGCCCTCACCGACAAGCAGATCCTGGCCACCACCGGCAACAAGTCTATGTCCAAGTACAAGCGCCGCAAGCTCAAGAACCGCCGCCGCGATGCCCGCGATCGCATGGTCAAGGCCCGCCATCCCTCGCAGCTCCTCGACAGCATCTTTGCCGAGGTCAACGGCAAGCGATCGCAGAAGCAATGACATCATTTGGGTTGCAATAAACAATTCGTTTGGCTTTGTTGAGGGAGAATAGTAAAGTAGCAAGGCGCCGCTCACTGCGACAGTGCAGCAAGCGCGTCATCAAAGGCCGCGATGACACGTTCGCAGTCGGCTTCTGTCACGCACACCGGCGGCTTGACCTTGAGCACGTTGTGGCCCGGACCGTCGGGCGAGACAAAGATGTGCCACTTGTGCCGAATGTGCTCCACGACCTTGCGCGCAGCTTCGCCGTCAGCCTCGAAGCTCTCGCGGTCGGTCACCAGCTCGACGCCGATGAAGAGGCCGATGCCGCGGACGTCGCCCACCATGGGGTACTTGTCCTTGAGCGCAGCGAGGCCGGTCATGAGCTGGTCGCCGCGCACAACGGCGTTGGCCTGAAGGCCCTCGGCCTCGATCGTCTCGAGCACCGCCAGGCCGACCGCCATCGACACCGGGTTACCGCCGTAGGTGTTGAAGTAGTCCATGCCGTTGTTAAAGGCGTCGGCGACGGCCCGGGTGGTGACGACGCCGGCCACTGGGTGGCCGTTGCCCATCGGCTTGCCGATCGTCACAATGTCCGGCACCACGCCCTGCGTCTCGAACGCCCAAAAGTGCGAGCCGACGCGGCCAAACCCGGTCTGCACCTCGTCGGCAATCGTCACGCCGCCGGCGCCGCGGATCGCATCGTACATCCCGGCGAGGTACCCGTCCGGCAGCACAATCTGCCCACCACATCCGATGATCGACTCGCAGTAAAAGGCGTTGATCTTCTGACCGGCCGCCTTGACGTCGGCCACAATCTTGGCTCCGACCGCGGCGCCGTCACACGCTGCTGGGTCGCGGTACTTGTGCGGCAGCGGCGCCACGTGGACGTGCTGCGGCTTGCCCACACCACCGGGCGCATCAAACTTGTACGGCGAGAGCTCGATGAGCGAGCTGAGGTGGCCATGGTATGCGCCCTCCATCACCACCGACGCGTTGCCGCCAGTCGCCACCCGTGCCAGCCGCAGCGCGAGGTCGTTGGCCTCTGAGCCTGAGTTGACAAAGAACACCACGCAGAGCTCTTCAGGGAACTTGGCGAGCAGCTTCTCGCCGTAGTTGATGAGGTTGCTGTGCAAGTAGCGGGAGTTGGTGTTGAGGACCGCCATCTGCGCGGCGCCGGCCGCCACCACCCGCGGGTGGCAGTGCCCGACGTGACACACATTGTTGACGCAGTCGAGGTACTGCGTCCCATCAGCGGCGTACAGGTACTGCCCCTCGCCGCGGACAATGTGCAGCGGCTTGTCAAAGAGCAGCGTAAAGTTGGGCGCAAGAACAGCCTCTCGCCGTGCCACCATCGCGTCCTCCTCGGCCCGGCTCGACGACGCCGACGACGCTGACGCCTCGCTCGACGCCTCGTTCTCATTCTCGCCGCCCATCCGGAGCAAAATGTTGCCGTTGGGCGTGAGCGCATCGAACACCCCCGCCGCCTCAGCTGCCATCGGCTCACTGAAGCCCAGCTCGTTGCCACAGAGATCAAGCGCCAGCTGGAACCAGACCCGACCGGCCTCGGCCGCCTTGCCAATCTCGGTCCCGGCCACAAGGGCAAGGCCGACGTCGAGTCCGGCCGCCGCACCGGCGTCCAGCCCTGAGTATACCGTGTAGAAGGTGGAAATCTGTGCCTGCGCCGCCACCCGGGCATCAAGCACATCACCGATGGCATGCGCCATGACCACCACGTCGCCATCGGCGGTGCTGCCAAGCGCGTGGACGCTGCCGCCGAGCACGGCGCACACGGTCGCACCCGGCACAGTGGTTACCGCCGTGTGGATCGATGCCTTCCCGCTCGGCCGCAGTGTGGCAGGCGAGCCCACCACCAGCGGCGCAACTGCAAGGTCTGGGTTAGCCAAAGCCGTCTTTAGCAGCGCCGCGCCGGGAACCGCATCGGCGAGGCCAGCAGCGGCGCGGAGCCGATACCGCGCCCACCGAGGATGGACGGCCGAGAGCGCCGCGAGCGCCTCACCGCTCGCCTTGGTCCCCTCAGCAAGAGCGGCCTGGGCCACAGCAGCAAGCATGGTGTCAAAGAACAGATCGAGCTCGTGCCCGGCCAGCGGTGCGATGGCGGTGTAGCCGGCGACGACGGCGGCGGCAGCCTCGATCGGGTCGGCGGCCGAGGCGGCGAGCGCCGCGCACGACTGAGCAAGATGAATCACTCGCAGCTGCGGGAGCATAGGCAGCTCGCCTGCGGCAAACGAGACCTTCCCGTCCTGAGCAACAGTCACGTTGGTCGGGAGGAGCGGGCCGTGCGCGGCGACGACGAGCGCGCCGCGGCCAGCCTTGGCTATGAGCTGCGGCGCAGCCTGGAGTGCCCAGCGGCGGAGCGCCTTGCCAATCATGGGTGCAAGGATGTCATCGATAGTGCCGAGGGCGATGGCGCGTGGCAAGGCAAAGAGGTCCGCGTTGGTGGCAGCAGCAATGGTGTCGTCGTTCTGCGGCAGCGGACCGACAGTCCGTGCCGCCAGCTCGCCAATCTTGCAAAGGAGTGACGTCGACGTGATAGAGTCGGTGTCGGCAAGCAGGGTACCCGAGGGAAGCACCGTAGTAGGAGATGCAATGGCAGGAACGGTGGACATAGGCATGGCAAGTTGGAAAGACGAGTGCGGGGGTTGCGGGTGTTGGGGAAAGGTGCGGGTGGTGCGGGGGTGGGGAGGGGTGGCCGACCGCGCCGGGACCACGTGGACATTACATTGTTCGAATTCGGGGTACGCGTCACTGCGGCGTCACGCGGTGTTATGTGAGGGGCTGGCTCGAACTTGCGACGTCGCCAGCCTCGACACGGGTGAGTGCATCGTCGAGGGCGGCGATGACCCGCTCGCAGTCGGCGTGCGAGAGGCAGAGCGGCGGCTTGAGCTTGAGCACGTTGTGCAGCGGGCCGTCGGTCGAGACAAACGTCCGCCAATGCCTGCGTATGTGCTCAACAACGGCGTCGATCTCCGGAACAGCGGGCTCCTTGGTGGCGGCGTCGCGGACAAGCTCGACGCCGATGAAGAGGCCCATGCCACGGACATCGCCAATGAGCGGGTGCCGTGCCTGGAGGGCGCGAAAGCCGGCGAGGAGCTGGGCGCCGCGCGCAGCCGCGTTGGCCATAAGCCCATCGGCGTCGATGGCATCCAGGACGGCGGCGCCGACCGCCATCGACACCGGATTCCCACCAAAGGTCGAGAAGAACTCCATGCCGTTGTGAAAGGCGTCGGCAATGGCACGGGTAGTGACAACACCCGCGAGCGGGTGACCGTTGCCCATCGGCTTGCCGAGTGTCACAATGTCCGGTACCACGCCCTGGCTCTCAAAGGCCCACATGAACGAGCCGACACGCCCAAAGCCGACCTGGACCTCGTCGGCGACAGTGACGCCACCGGCGGCGCGAACAGCAGCGTACAGGTCGGCGAGGTAGCCGTCTGGCAGCACAACCTGCCCGCCGCAGCCGAGCACCGACTCGGCGAAGAGCGCGGTGACCTTCTGGCCGGCGGCAGCGATGGACGCGAGCGCGGCGGCGCCCGCCGCCCCGCCGTCACACGCTTCGGGATGCCGGTACGGATCAGGCATGGGCACAACGTGGACATGGTCACTCTGGCCGGAGCCGCCCCTGCCGTTGAATTTGTACGGCGAGAGCTCGATAAGCGAGCTGAGGTGGCCGTGGTACGCACCGTCGAGGACAATGCAGGCATCGCCACCGGAGGCGGCGCGCGCGAGACGCAGCGCGAGGTCGTTGGCTTCGGAGCCCGAGTTGACGAAAAAGGCGACACAGAGCTCGTCCGGGAACGTGGCCAGCAGCTTCTCGGCGTAGTCGAGGACGTTGGTGTGCAGGTAGCGCGTATTGGTGTTGAGGACCGCTATCTGCGCGGCGGCGGCAGCGACTACCCGCGGGTGGCAGTGCCCGACGTGGCACACGTTGTTGACACAGTCGAGGTACTGCGTCCCGTCAGCGGCGTAAAGATACTGACCCTCGCCACGGACAATGTGCAGCGGCTCGTCAAACGAGAGCGAGAGGTTGGGCGAGAGGACAGCGGTGCGACGAGCGATGAGCGCGTCCTCGACCTCGCGCGATGCAGTGTCACGCTCTCTGTGCGTCTCGCCCAGCGCTGGGAAGCGGAGGAGGAGGTTTGGATCCGGAGTGAGCGACGCGTACAGCGGAGCGTGACGAAGCTGGGCAACACCCTCAAAGTCGCCGTTCTTGCCACACATGTGGAGCATGATCTGAAAGTGCAAGTGCGGCGGCCAGCCGCCGTTAACCTCGACGTCACCGAGCGCGCCGACAACGGCACCGGCAGGCACATGCATGCCGACCTGAAGGCCGGCAAGCGAGTCGATCGAGAGATGGCCATAGAGGGTGTAGAAAGTGTCAATCCCGGCTGCAGCGCCTCCGCCCGCCGCCACGTTCAAAGCCGCCACAGAGTGAGCGAGTACAACCGTCGGGCCGTAGTCCTGGAACGCGGCGTTGACCGCAAACGAGTGGACCTGGCCGGGCAGAAGAGCACAGACCTCGGTTCCGGCAGGCGCGAAAACGTCAACGCCGAGATGCATCGACCGGCGGGGAAGGGACTGAGGCCCGTCGGCGCGTCGTGGGGCATCGCCTGGCGCCGCCGGCGCCGGAAGAGGCGCGTACGCGTCGGTGCCGTAAATCGAACGGTCTTCGAGGTACTGGCCGAGGCCAAACTCGGCTCCGGCGGCCGCCAGCGCGGCATCAACAGCCGCAGTAAACATGGCCGGATCGGCGACATCGGTAGCGGTGACGTGCGGCGAGTTGGCCGACAAGTCCAGGACAAGGAAAGAGTCCTGAGCGGCGGCGCGGCGAGCGACGGCCGGGTCAGCAAAGAGCGACGGAAGCGTACGCGCAGGATCGCCGAGGGCTGCAACAAGCTGTGCAGTGCCGGGAACCGGGTCAGGGAGGCCCATCGCGGCGCGGAGGCGAAAGTGGACCCAGTCACGCGAGAGCGACGATAGGCTCGAAAGTAGATACGCCGCGCTCGAGGTTGCGGCCGGGTCGGCGATAACAGCCGTGAGCAGCGAGGCGAGGACTGCGTCAAACGCCACCTCGAGTTCGAGGTCAGTGAGCGGCGCGACAGTGGCGTAGCCGGCGACCACCGCAGCGAGCGCCTCGATCGGGTCCGGGTCGCCTGCGGCGAGCACTCTCGCGAGGCAGGCCAAGTCCTCGATGCGCAAGCAGACTGGGCGTGGAGCATCCTGCGCGGGCTCCAGTGCCACCGTCTGCGAGCCGCTGACAACGATGTCGTCGTGACCGGTGAGGGCGAGTCCGTGCACGACCGCCTTTGGCCGCGCGAGTGCATCGGCCGCCAGCATGCGCGAGCGGGTAGCCCAGCTCCGAGCGACGATCTGAGCAAAGGAGACAAAATCCGAGGCAAAGCCCGACAAGGTACCTTCATCCAGCGCACGCGGGAGGATCATTCTCGGTAGGCCGGTATCTGCGCCAGCAGCGCTTGTCGCCACGTGCGACTCTGCCAGGAGCCGGCCGGCCGAGCACAGCACATCGCGATGAAGCGGGAGCGGGAGAGTGGAGGCTCGAGCGGAGGTGGCCATGGCTCAGGGTGTGCGGGGTGTGTGCGGGGTGTGGTGTGCGTACGTGAGTGAGTGTGAGTGTGTGTGTGTGTGTGTGTGTGTGTGTGTGTGTGTGTGGTGTGTGTGTGCGACTCGGTTGCTGACAGCAACAGGTGTGATGTGGCGTGTGGCGTGTGGCGTGTGGCGTGTGGCGTGTGGCCATTCGAGGCCACTCCGGCTTGTTTGGTCAGACGCAAACCAGCAGTGCAACACCCGTCTCCAGTTTAGCCAGGCCAGGATGGCGACTGCTGACAGCGTGTACTCGGAGATCATCAGCTCGTTGATGGAAGAGGTCCAGGATGACTTTGCTGCCCAGGGAGTGGATGCTAGCTTTGTTGCCCAGATGGGCATGGTACGTGTGTGTGTGTGTGTGTGTAGGGAGGGGGTGGTGGGTGGTGGTGTTGGGTGGGTGCGGTGGTGGCGAGTCGGGAGGAGGGGGTC